ATTTACATCTGAAGGGCCGAAAGTATTCATCGGGAAAATAAAGACTTCAACCCAAAAAGAGTGACAAATACTATCCAAAAACATAACTACAGTATACCAAAATATGACGGTCCTCGATTCCAACACGAACCATCAACGATCTACAACTTTTCCTTTACTCTTAGCTTATTTTCCTGAAAGGTTTACCACTAAAAGGATAAGCTAAAAAAGCTTAGTGAGTTTAAATGGATATCATGCACATTATGACTCAAGTAAGTACATTTATAAGAAAAATCTATAAGTATAAGAGTCAATATTTATCAAAAGCAGGTGTTAACGAGAAATAGAATTTCAAGGAAACCACAAAGACAATCAAATGAATTTATAACACAAACACATCAATAATCAAAGTCACGCTATGCACAATTAGTACATTAACCAACAATTTAAGTCTAAAACAATAGACAATTATTAGGCTTGACTGACCAATCCGTATTCGTCCACTCTCGGATGGTGTACAAACCCTCTACTCATCTTCCTGCAATACCCATCCTCCATCACCGGACAGATGATTAGGGACAGCCCCTTCGGTTGTCTCACCCGGATCCAAAGGTGTCCGACAACCGGCGCCCAACACATAAACAATATTAGGACCAAAATTGATCTTAATTATTCTAAAAGTATTATCAAGTAATCGGGGCCAAGGATGGTAGATCTGAAGATGTTGTTGTGCAGAAATGACTAAGTCTGGAAAACGACCAGAGCCCCTCTGGACGACCAGAGCCTCTGGTAGTAATGACCAGAGCCTCTGGACTCTAAGTCCTTCAGGACCAGAGCCCCTGTTGTTGTATAGAAATGTCCCTCTGGATTCTAAGTCCTTCAAGACCAGAGCCCCTCTGGTTGTATAGACCAGAGCCTCTCTTGACGACCAGAGCCTCTGGTTGTATAGACCAGAGCCCCTCTAGCCGATCTATCCTCTGGTTGGTCTACCCTCTGGTTGGTCTATCCTCTTGTTGGTCTCTCCTCTGGTTGGTCTATCCTCTGGTTAGTCTATCCTTTGGTTGGTCTATCCTCTGGTTGGTCTATCCTCTGGTTGGTCTATCCTCTGGTTGGTCTATCCACAGAATCTTGAAGGATGAAGCTTATCTTGTTTTCAATAAAGATTATTTCCTTGTTTATAGGATTCAATTATCATGTAAATATTGTCTATATAGGGAGTGATATAGGCATAGAATAAAAGTAACCATGAAACAACAATTATGAATACAATATGGGTAACACATGCACCTATAGAGCACATAATAGGCATATATCCAAGTAAACTCACAATAGAATTCGATTGAATTAAACCRAATGTCAAACCGAGTGGTMGAMTCCCATTTCCAAATCAAAGTTGGAAAACCACCTCCAAGAYTTCCATACAAGCTCAAACAATCCCTSGAAGATATATTCAAAGTCTCATTAGTGAAGCACAACAARAACTCACTCAAACCTTATTTCGATTAAGGTACTCTACTTTGGATTTCAATATAAATACTCAACTTGCAGAGCTGTTTTACCCTTTTAAAACTCAAAATCACCAATTCAAATCTAAAGACAATTTGTAGCCCTTTATCTTACCTTTCTAAGGCCTATATATTYCTAGTTTCGAATTTTCTATGATTTTCCAAAAACAGGGCTGTAATCATTCTATCAAATGCTCAAAACACCCATTTTCCTCCAAAACATTACCAATACTAGCCCAATAAATTCCAAATTCATAGTTTCACTTAATTTTACCAAATTCCACAATAAATCAATGATAAACCATGATTATAACATCAATTTCTACTACTTTCATTGTATCTCAAATTGACTCCTAAAAGTCAACACTTGTTCTTGAGCTAACATCACAATTTCAAGAAATCTTACAATCCATCCTTGGATTTCACATACTAACTAATAATAACACTTAGTCCTAACATAATTTCATGATTTCAACTGTAAATCATCACATGCAAGGACTCAAACTCTATGCATGTCATCAAATAAGGATAAATATGAGTTTTACCTTTGATTTCTCTATAAATCCTTCAATAATCTTGATAAAACACTTTATTTAGGGATAGATTAACTCCCAAGTGTGTGTAATCGCACCTTAGAACACCAAGACTGATTTTGAGAGAAAACAGGGTTAGAAATGGGCTGATTTGATGATTTGCGACTTAAATCCTGAGTTGGGTCGGGTTGACCCGGCTGGGTACCCGTTTTGACCCCTAAACACTAAAAAAATATGCATAACATTTTGCTCGGGACTCTGTTTTTTATGAGGTTTTCGCCTACGTGTCCGAAACGAGATAACCTACAGGTTCCATTAAAAAGAATCCAATGTTTGAACCCAATGCTCAAAACCATACCCGAAAAGTCGATATTTTCAACACATAATTAAGCGTATTAGGAAGATGGATGTTACAACAAGTACTACTGCAGAAGTTGTTTCCTATTACATGGTAAAGGATGAAAGCAATTGGGATGATGATGACATGTGTTGATCCCAGATCTCTCAATAACACTAATAATTAAGTTAAGAATAACCAAATTATAGTGTTTGGATGAATAAAATGATGAACACTCAAGAACAATGTATGAACATTCAAAGGATAAACTTGAGTGCCAAAGATTTCACTTTATTCCAATGATTATGAAAAAAACATAGAAAAAAGCCTTAGATTACAATAGGCCTAATCACCTATTTATACTAGTAATCAATCTAAGAAGATAACTATCTAGTGAGACTATTTAGCTAATCTTCTACTAACAAATAAAGCTTATCTAAAACATGGATAAACATTAAAGCAAGATAAACTTTGTAGAATCCAGCTGTTGATTGGTCATCTCCAGCTGTCTTCTATGGGATATGAGTTCAACCTTATCTTCAGATCTTCATTGGTTGCCTCTGGTTGAACTGTTGAAAAAAACTCCAAGTGTTAGTACCCAGAGGGGTTATGGAGATGCACTTTCCATCGCATCTCTGGTCAGTTCATCGACCCCTGGTTGTTCTTCAGACTTAGTCATTTTTCCTTGAAGTCTTCCATCGGCCTTCTGGTTCTTCATCACTTGTTTGTCTTCATTATTTCATGCATAATACTTATGGGGTCTAACAACATGGAGCGACTAGAGGCAGACAGGAAGGCCAGGAGGCTGATTATCATGGCCATACCAAATGAAATACTCCAATCCCTGGATGCTTGTACAACATCAAAAGAGATATGGGATGAACTGGCTAGTCAACTGGAGGGAGGCGCTAAAACGAAGAAGAATCGTAGGGCGCAATGCTTGAATGAATACACAAATTTCAAGGCATTGCCCGATGAACCAGTTCAGAAGACATATTATCGTTTCAACACATTGATAAATCAATGCCACATAAACGACATTGCTAGGACCAAAGAGGAAAATAACGTCTGTTTCCTTAAAAGTCTCGGTGATGAGTGGACTCAACTATCGATGTCCCTCCAAGCAAATCAGGACTTGGACAGTTGGTCACTTCATGATGTCTATGGAACTGTTGCTGCTCAAGAAAAATATATTTTGAAAAGAAAGGTGTCCATCGGTGGACCCCAAGCCCTGGCAGTAGAAGAGAAAGAGGTTACAAGGAGCTCTTCCAAAGACCACAAAAAAAGAGCAAGAAGGCATTGATCGTTGAGTCAGAATCTAAAGAAAAAGTGTCTGACTCTGATGATGATCTCAAGGCATTTGCCAAATCTCTGGCGTTCATAACCAAGCAGTTCCAGAAATAGTTCGTCAAGAAGCCCTATGAAAGAGACAGCAGAAGAGACTCCAGCAGAGAAAGATATCACCCATCCTATAAACAGAAGTCTGTGAAATTTCATCAGAGAGATGAAAGAAGAGAAGGAAGAGAAGACAGAGAAGAAAGGAGAGAAGACATAATAGAAGGAGAAGATGGACGGAAAGATGGCCTTTGTTGCTACCGATGCAGGAAGGTGGGCCATTTCTCCAAGGAATGCAAAGGACGATTGGTCAAGGATGCAAACTACTACAAGAACAATGTTAGCTCTCATTTCTCTTAATGTAAAAGTATGGAAAAAGTAAATATTGCAAGTGTTGACAGAAGAGGTTCCACAACAGAAGACCATAGAGGACCAACTACAGAAGATGTTCTATCGTACAAGTGAAATGTGATAGAACCTCTGTTGGGTTTCACAGAGGTTCTGCAAACTGGTCCTCTATAATCAAAGCATACAAGTCAAAGATAACAGAACCTCTGTTGTCTATCACAGAGGTTCTGGAAGATGATCCTCTGGAATCAAGTGCTCTTAAGTCACATCCAGCAGAGCCTCTAGGATGGCTCACAGAGGGTCTGCAGCTTTATCTTCTGTGAAGAACTTTTTTACTATTTTACTTAGGTTAGTTAGCTGCTCGTGATCATCACGTGACTGTTTGTAATATGCTTTATTTGAACGGCTTAGATTAATTTTGTACATCTAGGTCATGTCAGAAAAGCCGTTAGGAACGAGTATAAATAGCAGCTTAGGCCTTTGTAATTTAGTGTGCTTCCATATCGTATTGTAAACATTTTCAATCAATTGAAAATCATTTGAAGCTTCGCTCTCGTGTTCTTCATTCATCAACTGTGTTCTTCATTGATTAT